CATCAAAAATAGAGAGATCTATATCATTTTCAGATTCGTATACAATTTCTCTACTCTCTGCGCCATTGAAAGCTTTAAAGAATGATTTGTCACGAGTAATACTTTTTCCTTGTTTATTCTCTGCCGTTATCATACTTCCTTTCGATTTAACAACATTAAACAAGTCATTTCTATATCTTGGTTCAAATTTTGTACGCTTTGTATTTTTTACCAACACTCTCTCCCCCTCCACAAACTATATACTTTTAATTCTGCCATGACTATCATGGTAAAGTTTATTTCTAGTCATACTCTGGTTATGTCTATCTTTGACAGTACAATCAGCAGCATTATAGTCAAGAGATGGCATTTTTGTTCTCATTTTACGGTCGAATAAAAGTTCGGCGGGACTCTTGCCGGTTGATGGATGTGGAGTTGCACGATAATTCATTAAAAATTTGCGAATTTTTTTCTTTCAATTAAGGAGCACCTGATTACCTTTCCCAAATTTGTCATGAAGTTCTCTGCTAGTCCGTTCGCACGGGCAAATTCTGGTGTTATTTTCTGGAGATGGAAACCTAAATCTTTCGAATAAAATTGAAATTCATTTGAATTATATGGGGGACCGTTACTTTTCAAATTTGATGGATATCCAAATGAAGTGAATATACGATCAAGTTTGGGTATCACAGCACTAGAGCTAGTTGAGTTTGTTATTTCTATTTCCGGGAACCTTGAATATTCGTCCATTACAAAAACTAAATATTGGCCAGATGGCAAGGGGCCATACATGTCAGTTGCAACGTGAGACCAAACTGTATGTAATTGTGATGGTTTCAATGGTTCTTTTGTTTTCATATCAATGTTAAACTGACAGGCATAACAATCTGATATGGTTTTGTCAACCGAAGAATCCATTGCAGAAAACCATACCTTTTCTCTCATCAATGCCTTGGTTTTAGAGGTACCCAAATGACCCTCGTGAGCAATAGAAATAATTGGGCTAATCTGCACTGGCTCGGAAGGTTGTAAATGATTAGCTAGTTTGAATTTCTAATTTGCATAACATTACTGAGAATGAACGTGCATTCAACGCCACAAGTCTTTTGTTTTTTTAGCCAATCAGAATTCATCTTCCGAGCCAGTGCAGATCAGCAGAAATAATTTGACTTTGAATTGATTCGGGTATCACAATCCGTGGCCTTCTCAGTAGCACACCGTTCGTAAAGCACAATTCGTCCTGAATTAGTTTGAATATTTTCACGAATTCTCTATTAACATTTTGTGGTACCTTATGCCAACAATTGGTCCGCAAACATTGAATAACAAACATCAAAGTTTTGTCATTTTGAATCGCAATTTGAATTTCTTTCATTGTTACAGCACAAGGCAACGTATGTTTACGAATGAAAGAAACGTGTTCATCCGTTCTTTTTCCACTATGATGGTTAAGAGAACTGGGGTGTCGCGATATATAATCGCTTGGATTGTTTATTCCGGAACAATGGATTAGTTTAAATCTAAATCTTTGGGCCTTGATCACCCATCTTTCTATTCGACTTGACATTTTATGCAATTCCTTTCGAGCAAATATCCTAATTAATGGTTTATGATCAGTTTCAATAGTGAATTCGGGTGAACCATCGAGATATAATCGGTGATGTTCCATTCCCCAAACGATTGTCAAGGCTTCTCGTTCAATCTGACTGTATCGGCTTTCCGTTTCGGAAAGTGCTCTACTCGCACAGCTGATTAATGCATTTCCCTGTCGCAAAATCGCACCGAGGCCGACCGGACTTGCGTCAACAGTCAGTGTAGTTTGTTTATTTATATCAAAATAGCCAAGCATTATATCTGAACAAGTTGCCTTTTTAATGGCCATAAACGAGTCTTCTTGCCTTTTACCCCAAACAAATGGAACCTCAATTTTCACGAGTGATCTAATTGGTTCGGACAACGTACTAAACTGTGGCACCATCATGGATGGGAGTGTCATGAATTTGTTTTCGCGTATCTGTTGACCGACTTAATTAGCTGATTATTAGCTGAATTCCTGTGTTATGTCTGTCATCGTTTAGGCCTATTTGAAGTTTTGGACGGAACTTGGCAGGTGATTTGGATCTAATTACCAGATAACCGCCGCTATTCAGACTACTCATTCTGACAGTTTATATTCATAGTTATTAATGTAGTGAATGATTAATCAAAAGATATGACGTATTCAGTACTTAGTGTGATTGGCTTTATGATTGAAGGTTACGCCCTAGAGTCTTTTTACTGCATTGTAATTGGTTAGAGTTTTGAAAATGAATAAAGAGAGTTTTGAGTTGGTCTTGGGGAGCACAGCACGATAGACGCAGTCGAGAGGAGTCCTGGAGAGCCTTGGGGCGAGTGTTGACGGAGTCTAAGAGTCTTGGGTCAGCCTTACGATAGTCTTGGGGATTTTTCCCCAGGGCGCTGTGTCTTATAGAGTGCTTGATTGACGACTAAGACGAGAGCTGAAACGTATTTCGTTGTGTGTGTCTTATTTGACTGTAAAGTATAAGTGACTTTCCTGATCCCGTACCTCGAGGGGGACGAGATATAGAGACGAGACAAGATTACCCCCTGGGAAGTGTGGAGAACCCCGTGGAGAAGAATTTCCCCCTGATAGGAGACTCAACATTCCCAGAAACGATCTGACCTCCGAAACATTTTTTGGTCGTTTTAGCTCATTTTATACGATTATCGTCACAACGCATGCCTTTTTTGTCGAACACAAAGCCAAAAAATACTATCTCTGGGACTGAAAACTTGCATTTAGGTAGACCCAACGTTAGTCCATTATCAAACAATCTACACAAACAATTATTAAGAGCTCTATCATGCAATTCCTGGTTTTCACCATAAATAATAATATCATCGGAAATACTTTGAACCCCTGTCAAGCCTTGTAAAACCATAGACATTCCATTTTGACAAATTTCTGCTGCTGCGTTTATGCCGAAAGGGAGGCGTTTATAACGTCTTAAACCCACATGTGTACTAATTGTAGTGATATTCCTGGACTCTTCGTCCAATTCAAATTGTAAATAGTGTTTATTAGCATCAAGTTTGCCGAATACAGTCGATACATTCAGTTTTGTTCGGAGTTCTTGGACAGTGGGTGTCACATGCCTTTCGCGCTGTAATGCCAAATTAGGAGCCCTGTAGTCTCCACATATCCGTACATTATCAGTATCGGGTTTTGGAACGACAACAATGGGACTTACCCATGGCATTGGACCATCCACTTTTTCCAAAACATCCGC